GCACATCACCCTCATGTGGGGCAGGCTCACCGGAGTAGCTCTGCCAGCTAGGGTAGCGGGGGGGAGAATAGCTCAGTGGTTTGAGCATTGGCCTGCTAAACCCAGGGTTGTGAGTTCAATCCTTGCAGAGGCCATTTAGGGATTTGGGGCAAAAATTTGTCAGGGATGGTACTTGGTTCTGCTGAGAAGGCAGGGGATTGGACTCAATGACCCTTCAAGGTCCCTTCCAGTTCTAGGAGATAGGCAATCTCCATTAATTAATAGCATCAGGGCAGGGGAGAGATCCTGGCCTGCTCTGGCCCTGATCCCAATGTGGGCTTTAATAGGATGCTGCAGAGCTGCTTTGGGGGAACTTAGCTCCCCAGGCCTGGAAGGGCTCAGTTTGTGAGCCTGGAGCAGAAGCAGCTTGTTGGCGTGAGATACTTCACAGAGCTTCATGCCGAGCCCTGATCCCTCACTGCTTGGTCAAGGTCCCATGGACTTCTAAGGCTCAGCTGAGTTCCCTTTTCCCCCCTGCAGGCAGGGGGGTTCCTCTTCTCGCCAGTAACGTTTTCTCTGCATTCACCAGGCGAGCAGGCCAGGCTAGGTGAGTGCTGGGAGAGGAAGCTAGCCAGAATGCTGCAGGGTGCGGTGTGGATGACGTACTGGTCCCATTCCCTCGGGGTCCGCTCTGGCTGATGCCCGGCCACTCTGCGGCCGGAGGGGCTACCGTGGAGCAGAGAGAGAAGGGGCCTGCGTTTTCCATTTCCTGGCTTATCCCAATGCAGTAACCAGCCATGGCCCCTCTCATGCTGCTTCCTCTTGCTTTCCTCAGGCTACGCCAGCGCGGCCCACTGGAGGCTGAGCTTCAGCTCCAGAGGAGCAGAGCCCGTAGTCCTTTGCGATGGGTCCACTTGCTAAGAACCGTGGGGATGCCGGCGTCGAGGGCACGCACAGCGGGGACAAGGAGAGGGGCGTATGAAGCTGGTGCCACTGAGAGACTCTGCCCACAAAGCGGGAGGCCTGGTATTCCCTGACCTCCAAAGTCAGACTTGCTCAGACATCCCTTGGGAGAGGTAGAGCTAAACTTGGGTAACCCCGGGGGCACACAGATGTGCCCCAGGCTTCTCCTTGCCTCCTTTGTGACTGTTACACTGTCATAGTTTTACAGGGAGCCCCAGAGCGGGCAACACAGTGAATGAAACTGCCCTGTGCATTTATCCCAGAGGGGCAACCCGAGGCCTGCCATGAGGGCAGCTCTGTCAAGGGGACACATTATGGAAACATTCTCTGGTTCCTCCCCCCATCACAACCCAATTATGGGCTCCATGTGGATGCGCACGAGCCCCTCAGGCCTGGCTCCGTGCCATGGGGAAAGAACAGGCCTCCCAGCCCCACGCACAGCTGCATTCTTGTACCAAATGCATCTGTTTGACCCTTTCCCCCTTGTCTCGCTGGGATTGCTCTTCTGCATGATGGTGTTACAGTTAGGGATGTCAACGGGGCCGTACGCAGCTGGGCTAGAGTGGTCCCACTGCCTGCCCCCATTTAAACAGTTAAACGGTTAAGACAACGTTTAACAGGTTAACTAATGAAACGGGATTTTATGTCCCTAGTGAAAATCTTTGAAATATTGGCCTCCGTCTACCCTGGCACCTTGCAGATCCTGCTTGTCTGTACCATGCTGCTCTGGTTTGAAATGTGCTGACTTGCCTTCCGGGCCCATCCTGGGAAGGGCCTAAGTTGGGGGGAGCCTTTCGGATCTGGGTTATCTGGAAGTTCCTTCTTCCCCCAATCAGCTGCGTTAACTTCTTCCGGACCGCAGAGCGCTGCTTTCTCCCGAGCGAAGGCTGACTTTTCCCTGACTCCCTTCCGGGCCTGCTCTGCATGTTTCCTGGTGCTCGTGTGCTCCCCAGCAGTGCCTTTCGAGAGGATCGGCTTCCTCTTGTGCAAGCTGCAGCTGCTGCAGTTCCTCTCCAGCCTGGCCCTCGGGCCGTTGTTCCCGTGTGGAAGATGGCTGACAGCTGCCTCGGGCTGGGGCTCAGGACATTCCCTTGCACTTACTAATCTGGGATTTGAAAAGCCTCTTCAGCAAGCGAGTCAGTTACGAGCCACAAGAATCATCTCAGATGCAAAGACCTGCCGGAGTGGAAGGGTTCGCTCCACCCTCTTGCAGCTTTTGGCAGCAGCTGGAGATGGGGCTGACGCTGCGTTGTTGGGGTGGGACAGTGTGTTTTGAGGTGCCGGCCCTGGTTAGAGCCTGGCTTTGCTGGGTGCTCTAAAAAGCTAAAGAAGGTTACTGTCCCAGGGCCCGCCGGGCAGAGCTTTCCATCCACGCACACTGCTAACGCGTCGCTCTCCAGGTGCCTTTGCAGAGCCCGTCGCGGGAGAACAGGCTGCCAGTGGGTGGGGTTTGTTTCATTTGGCTTTGAACCATTTAATTGGCAGAAAAATCCTACAGCGCACAGGGTCTGTGCAAGTCCCAGCACTGCTGCTTGGGGATTGTGCGTGCACCCCCGCGCGCTCTCGTAAGTGCGGGGCCGTGTGCCTCTCTCCCTTGTTCGAGGGCAGAAGGGTCCTGCCCTAAATACACGCATTGGTGACCGATGCTGCTTACGTTTTGGCAGCATCTCAGTTTACATTGAGAGGCAAATGGGTAACCTCAGCTCCCCGGCTTTTCTGTCGTCAGTAGGGATGTGAATGGTTAACCAGGAAGCATCACCCTTACTGGCTGGGGCTCCCTGCGAAATTATGACAGTTAACTGGCCCTGCCAGGCTGGAGCTGCTCCCCACCCACAGGAAGGTGCGGTGGGTCTGGACAGGCTGGAGGGCAGGGTGCGGGGGCGCACCAGTCTGGCTGGGGATGCCATGCTGCAGCCCAGGTGTGCTCCAGCCCAGCCAGAGCAACCCCAGCCTGCCTCCCAGTAAGCGTTTACCCAGCTGACTGATGACATGGGATTTTACATCTCTGTGCTTAGCAGCCAATGAGAGACCGAGGCAGGGAGTGTATTGGACTCAGTGTTGTGAAGATCACGGGTGAGTTAATGCTGCTTGTGCTGCTAAGTGTCCTTGAATGTGACTTATCAAAAGTTGCAGAGAGAATTGTTAGTAGCCTGTTCAGTGCTTGTGTTCTGAGACCCGCGTCAGTGCCAGCACAGCTCCCTGGCCTGATGGCAGGAGAAATCAGCCAATAGTGCAGTCAGCCGCCAGGCTCCCTAGCAAGCAGTGGTTTGTAAAGCTGGCTTATGTCTACTCTGCAGACGTGCTACTATAGAGCCAGCTCTGCCCCAGCTCAAACACAACTGGCGGTGTTATGCCCATTGGACAGACGATGATGAATCTGTCCTGATCACAGGCCTGCGTCCAAGTGCACTTTCTGCCTATGTCTGCAGAGCTGCGTGTAAGAAACAGTGCACACGCCCAACCCTCACTGCCTTTGGAACTGACATCATCTGTTTTTACACTTCCACTGCGCGTTCTCCTCTGCTCCCAGGAGCTGCGAGGAATGAGAGGCAGACTTAGCTGCTAACCTGAAAGAGGAGGGGGCTGACTTTACTCTGCTTGTTAAAAACTGGAGAATCAAAGCTGGTCCCACCGGCCATAGAGTTCAGAGCCCTCAGCAGCGGAAGGGGGTCTCACTCAAGTCCATCCCTGTCTCCAGCCGCCAGAGAAGCAGAGTGAGCCTGTTGCTGTGCTTTGGCCCAGGCCTGGTGGGCTGGGCTTGAACTCCTGGGTAGGGGAGGTCAAAGGAGAAGGTGGCTGGTGAATCTGAGCTGTCGCATGCTGCAGGAGTTTCAGCTCTTAGTCAGCGCTTTCCAGGCTAGCCAGTCTGATGACTGCAGCAGGCAAGAATTGGTCCCAACCCACCCCCACCTCGTTTGTGTTTCAGGGGCACAGCTTCTCCCGGCCAGAGAAGCAACAGCATGTCCAGACACAGTGAGATTCCAGTCTTGTGATCTCCCCCAGCCAAGGACTTGGCAGCTAAAGGGTTAAATGTGGCCCCACACAGCCCGCCAGCTCCTGTGGCTCCAGCCTTTGTAACAGTTCATTCCACTTTTGAAATCCACTGAGTGCCTGCCTGCTCCTGTGTGAGCCTGCAGATGGACTTGTACCCGCCATGGCCTTGCAAAGCTGATGTGAAAAGTCACAGTCAAGGCACAAAACTTGCCTTGCTCCTGTACGGAGAGATCACCTGCTCCAGGGAAGGGGACAGGTGGAGCTTTGCAGAGGCTGGCTTAAGGCCTGTCTCCGATAACCCAAGACATTTGATGCCCCCATCTCTCTGGCTCTAAGCCTGTGGCCACTTTGCTGATTTCAACCCTGGGAAACTAGGAGGATCTGGGCAGCCAGTTCCCTTGGACTTTACCAAGAATTGTGCAGTGCCACAAATCTCAGCCTCAGAATCCCACTGCAAGGGCTCCCACTGCGAGGTCATGTCAGTCCAGCTAGCACAGGGCACTGGCTTGGGCCTCAGCACAGGCTGGCAGTGTGTGTGTGCCCCTGGCATAGGGGGCTTGTGCCAGCCACGTGGACGTCTGTGCCGCCATGGCTTCCCTGTGCTCGTTGGCTGTGTCAAGCAGGCTCAGGCTAGCCGGGTGGGGCTGCCCAAGCTGCAGTCGCACCCGTGTCACATGCAGCCGCAGAGGAGGAGGGAAGATCAACCACTAAGGGGATGGTCCCCGTGCTACACAGTGAGGAAGAGGAGCCTCCACCCTTTCTCACGCAAGTCGTCCTGCCTCTGCAAAGGGACCGCGGCTGTGAGAAAGGGCTGCAGGCTCGATCCTGCAGTATGCTGAAGTGCCCTGGAGTCCCTGCTCATTCTGTGGGAAATAAGGGAACTCGGCACTTTCCAGGGTCTGACCACAAATAATGAGCAATTCCAGGAGCCTTGCACCCAAAGAACAGAACCCTTTCACCTCTCAGAGAATTCAGCTGCCTCCTCTTGTGTGTTTTCTGGCGAGCGATGTGTTCTCCTCTTCTGGGTGTCTGAAACAGGTCTCTTACGGGACAGAGGAAGGGTTGTGTTGAGTTAAACATGGGAAGTGCTGGCCTTTCCTTTTGCTTTGCAAATTCTAATCAATGATAATTGATTTATTTGTAATGTTATCTTTTTTGTGGTGGAAAAGGGGGTAATATGGTTAATTGTAACATACTACAAAAACTCAGGGGTATGCTGGGCAAACTATTATATAAATATATGCATAAAGACTGTTGAATTATGTACACTAAACATTCAAGTGGCTGTTAATGTAAATATGCAGTGAATGTTATGAATGATTATAATTTAATATATTGCAGTTTGTAAATAATTGGGAAAAGTCTGTAAAAAGTGTAAATAAATCAGCTTTATATATAAGATTTTTTTTAAAAAAAATCACTTTTTTGCATTGAAATACAAACGTTGATGCACTTTTTTCCCCAATGTGGATTTTTCTTTAATAAAAAAAGAAACCATGTCGCAAGCAAGAGCAGTGGTTTTGTGAATG